TGAACTGGAATGCGAATAGTATTGCTAATAAAAAAAAAGAATTTACGCAATTTCTGCGTACCTTACGTACCGTAATAATGTTGACGTTGCTTGCATTATGGAAACTAATTTAAAACCCAGCAATAAGTACTACTGTCCAATGTACTACTTATGTCACATTCAGAAAAGATAGATCACGGAACAAAGGGGGAGGAGGAGTCTTCATGGCAATCAATTCAAACATAAAACACCTCATACCAATACCTAAGTTCAATGAAATAGAAGTAATTGCTCTTAATGCCGAAATATTACAACAATCATGGACAATTATAACAATTTGTAAGCACTATCCTAAATTAAACATAAACAGCATCAAAAATTTATTTCAAGCAGGCAATAATGTTAGTTTATGCTCGAAGAACATGAACGCAGAACATACGTCATGGGGCTGCAAAAACAATAATCGTGACAATAAAAATCTGGCCCATTTTATAAATAATTCCACATTGCAAATAATAACCGAAACCAACATACTACCCTCAACTCTACTCGAGGGCCCCCGACATATTAGAGATAGGAATAACAAACTCATCTCTTAAATTTCACGCTTCTACATGATTCGAATTAGATTCAGACCACATCCCCGTACTCATAACCTCCCTACAAATTCCTACATCTCATGCTCCATTTCCCAAAACAAAAATTTGTATCAATTGGCCCACATTTCAAACAGAATTAAATCCAATAATCCCCAAAATTAAAATACTACACACCCCTCTCGAGATTGACCAATCAGTATCAATTCTAAATTCTATCAACCAAACGGCAACTTAAGAGTCGGAATTCAAGACGAATGCTTAGAAGAAAACAAATTACACCAACCTTCCCCCAAAAATCATGAAAGTTATAAATATTAAAAATAAAACCAGAAGATTTTTGGCCCTATCAAAAAGTAATAGCGTCAAACACGAACTACACATTTTCAGAAATATCCTAAAAAGGCATTTAGGGATAAATATAATCAAATTCATGAATTCACTCAGTCTCTCAATGCACAAAACAACACAATTTGGCAATTCACACAAAAGATACTCAGGAAAATATTTATAATTCCTCCAATTAAAGTAGCTACAACAAAAGCATATACTCCCTTTCAAAAGGCAGAAAATTTTGCCAATTATTTTTCGTCCACCTTTACCACCAACACCATGAAATACCATCCATCTCACCAAGTAATCAATAACGCATCATATACTCCTACTTATGGACCACACCCAAGTATTAAGTTAATATTACCTCATTATATATATATATATATATATATATATATATATATATATATATATATATATATAAATTACTCAGAATCGTATATTTTTCCATTGAAGCACATTGTCATCATACCGATTCTAAAACCAAATAAAAGTCCTTCATTAGTCGAAAGTTACTTATTAGTTTACTTCCTACCCTTGCAAAAATATTTGAGTAAGCTATCCTAACACGTTAAAAGCATTTCTGACACATACTATGCTACCCAAACAACAATTTGTCTTCACCGACAAAGTTTCTATCAACTATCAACTTCTGCGATTGTTAGAATACATCCCCAAAAGCTTTCAAAATGATAAGCAAATGGTCGGGATTTTTATTGACATCACTCAGGCCTATTATAGAGTATGGCATAAAGCAATGATCTACAAAGTAACAAAAAGAGATACCCCACAATATCTCACTCAATTTAAACCTACCTTAACAATACAACGTTTTCAGTCTCCATAAACAGTTATCAGTCAAATCCGTAACCAATAAGTGCAGGCTTGCCACAGGGTTCACCACTATCCCCTACACTTTTTAATCTATACGTCTCTGACCTTCCCAAATTAGACAATTCGGGAATGATACGCCAATTTTTGTATCCGGAGATTCGCTAGTAGATATCAGAAACTCCCTTCAATTGTATCTCAATCTTATAGACAGTTGGTCTGCATATTGAAAAATCAAACTTAATCCCACAAAAACAGCTATTAAAATATTATTTTCAAGACTCTATACACCTTCAGCACAGCTCAAATAAATAATGAACCCATAAAACTCCCAAATAGCACAGTGAAATATCTCGGGCTTAATATAGACACTAAACTGAACTGGAGCCAACACATCAAAAGTAAAATACAAACAAAAAATAAGCTACATCAACTAAAACCCATCAATAATTGATTATTCCACCTCCCATTCTCAACAACCATAACCATCAACAAAACCATCATTAGACCACTCCTGCTATACACTTGTTCAGTATGGATCTCCGCAGCAAAAACAAACCTTAACAAACTGCATGTAGTCCAGAACCAGTTTCTTAGAACTATCACAAATGCTCTTTGGTTTGTCACAAACTCACAGCTTTACAAAGAATTCCAAATGGACTCCATACAACACAATATAACGTACCTATCCACCCAGTTCTATCATTCCATACCACAAATTCCTCACCTAGCCAACTTTAGACTTCGGAAAACTCCTTCTCACAGAACCAGAATTAAAAATAGATAGGGAAAGGGAAAGACAGAGGGAAAGGGAAAGAGATAGAGAGGGAAAGGGAAAGAGATAGACAGAGAAAGGGAGACAACATGTCAACGTCTGCCGGGTTTCGCTAGTAGTTGCTGAAAAGAAACATAGGTCGTTGAAAACGCATATTTACCTTACTGTTAATACTAATATGTGTTAATGAAGGTGTAGGCAAGGAGAACGATTTGTATTTATGGGTGATGGCCTCAATTAAAGTGAGGGAGTCGTAGTTAAAAAATATTGATATTTTATGAAGCACACGTATCGACCATTTAAACTAGAGACTATACCTTTACTAATCACAAACATCTATGTAGGAACGACTGAATTGGAACTGAAAATACCGCTTGAAAATTCATTGTGAACCGTTAGGGTTGTTCACATACATTTCTCAACCACTTTAGTTTCCTTTTAGTCGTTGTAGGTTTCTATTGTCTAAGGACGTCCTTCCTCCTTTTCTCTTCTCGCTGGAAAGACTGTTTCGCCCTCCGGCCTCACTCTCTTACAAAAGTCACTCGCAAATGGGTAAACTCGAGTGAGAAGGTGAATGATGGAGTATCGTCAGTTTGCCAAGTCCTCGACAAATGATGGTTTAGTTATTTCGTCAAATAAAATCTTTAGCTCGTTTGTCAGTGCAAAAGGATTGTTATACATGGGAAGGAATATTTCTTGTTATCAAATGTCACAAAAACACTCGTGTCTAGCTATACTCACAATTCAGTTAAGTATGATAAACGAGAGAGGATATGAGTTCGAGATTTGTAAACTAACGGTGCTACAGAATGGGACAAACTTACTCTTACTCCTTACTTTTTCTAATTACTTTGGTCTGAGCTAGGATGCAATATCGAGTGAAACATGTGCAATATTTAAAAAAAAATAAAAGCAAGAATTTCTAAAAATCGACTCGAACGATGTTTTATTAAAAATTTTGGTAGGGACAATGCTAAATGTACTCTGTAGGATCTCTATACTCTGTAAACACCATTTGCTGTATTCTTTTTTTCTTTTTCAACAATAACCCAAATATAATTGACATCTCTTGTGTGACAAATGAATTCCCACATCTCTCTCACACCGTTAATTGATATTACAGTCAATTTTTGTTTGAATTATAGTATTTATGAGTACATCTCCTTTAAATGATGTCTTAAAACGTTTTTACAAAATCAGAAGTTCTTTGTGAAAAAATAGCTTCCAATTTCACATTTTAAGAATCGTTTAAACATTTTCTTAAAATGTTCTCCAAATATTTGAATGAAAATTGCCAAATATGTACACGTTTTCTTCTTCTAAGATATTATTGAAGTCTTATCTCTTATACCTTTAAAAGAGCGAAAAGGCGAGGAAATGTAAAAAAACATGTTCTTCGACAATTTGCCCTTAATAGATTCTTTCTCATGAAAATGTGTTCATAATTGTCTTCTTTATTTCAATTTTTTCACATATTGCCACTTTCTTTGCTCCAAAACACTGACACACGTTTTTGCAATATCAAGAGTTTCCTCTTTCCGAAATCATTCACAATACTCACCATTAGACCAAAGGCACAGTACGTACTAGAGATTAGTATTCTACACTGTCAGTTTGACTTATCAGGAGAATGGTCCAGGATTGTACTTGGTGTATTTAATTTAATTTGTTAATTAAATTTGTTAACAATGTTTTATCTAATTTTGCATTATTAAACTTTTATGTTATAATTATATACAAATTGTATAATTTTAAATATGCATAACCTCATTTCAGTTTACCTGAGCAAGAAACCGGTAGAGATTTCGCGAAGTTGGTCTACAAATGTTACAATAAAAACTGAGTGCCTATAAACAAATCCTGGGCCTTTCTTCTGATAAATTAGCTAAAGACTCGTAACTGTTTCGAGTTTTCGAAGTTTTTCTCACAAGCCTCTTGGGCTGGGAGAAAGAGGTCAGCACTCAGCTTCGTCATTGGAATCGGCTTCCTCGTCTGAGAATTTATCAACAAGAGCATCACGCGGCGTGCCCCAAGCAGTTGTGAATATCATTCCTTCGTCCGACTTCTACTTTCCGCAACTATCAGGTTGTCAGCGCAAAACAAACTGAAAAAGGCTGTCCTTTTCCACATTAGCAGCACACATGCATTTTATATAGCAAACGAATGGGACAGTCACCTTTTTTGTTGAATACAATTTACCGTTATTACCTGCATGCTTTTTGACAGCTTTGAATAGGGAATTCATCCACTTTTTCTTCGCCAGAGCCCATTTTGGTTTTTCTGTCAAAAACCGCTCTTTTCCGGCGCACGACTGCATAACTCTTCGTTCGAAGGGCGAGAAGGAAAAAATGTACGTGAAATAAATACTGCTGTTTTACTGCTTCAGACACTGAACTTAAAAATCATGAAAAAGAAGTCAATTTGTTTATTGCTTTTATTTTTTGGCTTTTACGAATGTACATAATTATGAAAACGTTACTCTATTGATTTTCACATTTCATATCATCGAGGATCTTCTTAATCTTACCCATGTCAAACGATTCCATATTTGCAAATCTATTTGCTATAAGCGTTTTAGAACGCTCCGCAAACTCAACGCAGTCGGCAAATACTACATTTTCTGGGCAACCATCATCACTCCACTTTTTGGTTGCTGAAAAATAAAAATCAATTATGCATTTTAGATATTATGTTATTCTTTAAAGATATGAAGTATATATTTATTCATAATGAAATTCTAGAGAGATTGAAGTATAACATCATATTTCATTTCTTAATAGCAATATTGGAAAAGCGTGTGCAAATTACGCTCAGGCCAAGACTAGAACAATAGAAACGACTGTAGTTTCATTCCGTGTAATCTAAGAAAATTGGCTGTTATAAAAAATAAATTACACCTGACTCTGGCATTACTGAACATCCTATAATTCGAATAGTTGGGTAATTAAAGAAGTATTGCATTTTCATAAGAGTTTCATATTTAAGTATTCGTAAAAAACATGATAGTTGGTTTAAGTTCCCTGATTTTTTTTCACACAGAGATTGATATATACCAGAATGATTGATGATAATAGCAACAAGATAAAGTTTACGTTGTAAGTTAGGCAAATATCGTAAATATGATCAGTGTAATACTTCCCACCCCTGAATATCATGTAAATCTAATACACAGAAAATAAAAATATCTCTTAATTTTATAAGAATGAACTTTATTTATTTACCGTCAAAAACGTAAAAAGCTGTGTGTGTGTGTGTGTGTGTGTGTGTCATTCTATGGGGAAAATTGTATATGTAGTGCGCGTTAACTAAAATTAAATTCTCTTAAAGGACCTAGGGTTTCAGTCCTATCGGCGGCGGGTCCATCAATTACTTTAGCAATTCAAAGAGCATAGGATGAACAATTCAAACCTTCGCATTTGTCACAATCACTCTTCAATGCCTGGCCATCAATTCCAATGCTTGAAAGACACTTCCACAGCTTTGGAGACTTTTTGAAAATCTGAAAGCAAATCGAAATGTGGTTAAAAAGGTTTAACATATTTTTACTACCTTGGGTATTGATAATAAAATCAAATGAAAATGAATCCAAGGGGAAAAAATCAATCTCGTATCAATTAATACAGCTACTATCCGATGTATAATACTGAACTATGTATATTCGTTCACTAATAAAGATATATTAAAAAAAAACTATCCGATGTGTTTCTCAGTGACTCCGGCAAATATATTTCATTATAAACCTTTACTCGTATTTTAAACGCATATATATTGAAACGAAGAGCGTTTCTGAATTAAGAAATACCAAAAGCGATACATTCTAAATTAAAATAAAATACATTTTGATCAGCGCAGTACCGCCGCCGCCGCCAACGGAAAAATCGAGGGAACCGGTGAGGCGAGCAACGGTCAGGCAGTGCGGGGGCTCGCCGGGGAAAGGAGGGGCTGCGCACGATGAAATAGCAGCAATTCGACAATGCAGAACAGAATAAATGAGCTTCGGGGGTAAAACCAAGTGTATTAATGACTCGTAGGAAGTTGGATGGTTCGCGGAATTAAGGTTAAGTGCTAAAACTGAGATAGATCGATGAAAATAGTGAATCGCGTGGCCGGTTGTGGTTAGGGAAGTGACCCCGTGCTTAAGTAAACGTAGAGTAGTGAACAGAACCGAACTGATTAATTGCGAAGCCAAGGAGGATTGCAGAAAAGAGCGGAAGGACCATCGGGCATCGATCTTGAGTATTTCGCCCCATCTTTGTATCATCTTAACAACGGCAGGGACGGAGCCCTGGTGAAATCGTCAACCGTCGCGCAGAGCTTGAGAGGCAGGTCGCCGAGGGAAGGGCGAATCTCCGACAGGCTTCGAGGTGAGCCGAAGTCTGCCGCCGTTGCTACCGCCGCCCGGGGAAACGTCAGGAGGGAACATCTGACTCTTGAAGACCGAGGTATCATAAAAATATGAGCTCATTTGCATGTTTTGGTACCAAAACGAAAGTTTAACTGATTGTAAGCATTATTTCTAATTTGTATTATCTCATCTATAATACGTTTGGTTCTTTAAAAATATATAATGGAATTATCTTTCCATGTTATGCCAAAACCCTAGAGGCCCATTCCCGAACAAAACACCTGTCCCCTTTAAAATTAATTGTCGTGAATAGTACCGCTTCCAAGGTACATCACTATATATATATAATATATATATATAATATATATATATATATATATATATAACTAATAGATAATGTAATGGGTCCTCTAGGGGTTTTGCATAACATGGAAAGATAATTCCACTTAATAGATTTTTATCTCTCTCTCTCTTATATATATATATATATATATATTTGGCTCTATTCCTACCACAACTAGCAAAAGGAGAGTTCAATACGACATGCGCTTAGTGAAGCTACATTTATGTCCAGAAGAAAAACAGGGGGCCATATCAACAACTTAACAAAAACATTGTTTCCTGATACGATTGTTGTAATAAGAATCGACGATATTGAATTTTTTTGTAGTATGCATCTGACCTACATCCATCACATAAGTGTAGAATTTGTTAAAGAAATGCAAAAGCAGAAAGAAGTTCAATGAATGTCCCTATATGAAGAATGATATTTGATGGAGCTAATTACCCCTGTTAGTGCAGTAATACTCCTTAAAAACTGAAAAAATATGTACACTAAACTCTATTCAATCTATAATGAAAATTAAGACCCCTAGTACTTACAGCGTCCAGATAGAATCTGAATGCGCTGAATCTACAGGGCCAGCCACTCCATGTAAAAATATTCTATCTCGTTACTTGATATGCCTGGCAGAGAGATACATTTTATGTAAAACCCTGATTCTGATCATTTGCATCAGATTAGAAGAATAATTAGTGCACATTGCACGCGATCGTCATATTTTTTCAAACAATGTTTCGGTGTCAAAGGGACGTGTTGACCTAGGCGGGCGTACATGGGGACCGTGAATCTTCCCGAAAATTTTGAAAGGACCCGTTGTCTTACGTAATAAAAAAATTATAACCGGAAATTCATTAAATCCCTGATAAAAAAGTACTTATAAAACCTATACATTTAAGAAATTTAGTAATTCATTCTGTGAGCGACGTTTAAGTATCAAGATATTCTTACCTTCAAGGCATGCGTTGAGATACAGTCGACAAGTGGCTGAAACAGTACGATAATGGAATTTTAATTAACCTTAACAAAATATGAAACCGTTTATTTGCGCATGGGAGATCCAATAGAAGATTTACTTTAGGGTCAAGTTCATAGTCTACTTTAGGAAAAGGAATAAAGGAATCGTCAATAAAGAGGAAAATTCATATAACAGTTATATAAAAAACACTAGTAGCATCTAGCATACAAAATGCTGCTGAACAAAACCACAAAAAATGGTTTTTATCAAAAAGTGCACACTGCTCAAGCACAACAAATGAAATGTCCGCGAGGAACATTGCAATCAACTAAATATTTTAACAATAAAACAATTATAGCAGGCATATACTACTTGCAGGTCTTTACATACCAAGAATATCAATTTACGCAACATGTGAACAGCAAATATTTAATGGCGAACAACATCTTCCTTGGGACCTTGCTATCTCGTGACGAATGATGCGTCGGAAGCAGTGACACAGCTGACATGAGAAGTCAGTCGGTTCGCGCAATCAACAAATCAAATATTTGCATTTTGCAGTAAAAATAGAAAATGTCACAATTTTTGGATTTTTCTTGAGGCCTTCGGATTCTAACAAAATCATGGAGACCTTCTACGTGACTTACAGATCACCGTCTTTTGAGTGCTTCCGTGGAGTAGTTATTAGTAACATACGTAGATTCCTCTTATTGAAGCACAATGGGTTGTCAAGAGATTGAAAATGCGGTAATGAGTTGAGTGATGACTGTACCGAATTCCATACATTGCAATAGACAAATGTGCAGTACTGTATTAATTCATTCTCTTGTAGTAGTAATGTCGATTGGTAAAATGTGAATATTGCGAACTATTATCATTCACAGGAATATACGATTATCTGATGCAAATCTATAGAAGGGAAAATGATTTAGATTATATTAAGATCATAACTTTCTCTATATTACCCACTGTCAGAGTTAAGGGAGTAGATATTTAGTTATTCTCTCAATTTCCATTTTATGGAAACTGTTCAATGGCAGTAACTGCAATAAGATAAATATTCTTGACAACAAAAAACTTCTTGCCTTATTTACACTAAAACAATTTCACAAAGCTAAACTAATACCTAGGTACTAATGAAGAAAAGAAACATTGCGTCGAATTGGGGGAGAATTTATAACCTAACTTGAAATAACTGCAATTCAGCATATGTAGGTCAAACAGACAGAAATTTTCAGTTAAAAGTAATGAGCATATTAGATGTTGAAAACAAAATGTAGACACTTTCACCTTTGCCAATCATTTGATTCAATTTAACCCTTCCTTTGACCACAATTATAATTTTAAAATCCTTCACCTAGTCAACAAAGGCACAAAAATGAAAATTTTGGAGAACTTGGAAATTCTAAAACTTTTCAAAAATTCTAATTTTTCGTTCTTGAATGAACATTCCTTGATTAAAAGCAGTCCCATTCTAAATATTTTATTAACTAGCCCCTAATCATTCTTTTGACCCCTTTTTCTCTTCTTTTATGCAATCTCTTTATCTAGTCAACTTGTTAAAAAAGTTCTTTATATAATTGAAGTTCTAGAATCTTGCACATTCCTAATTGTCTGTTTTGTTTTACATTCCTGTATGTAAAGCTGTAATTTTTTTATAGTCTGTTTACGACTACCCTTTCTTCTCTTCTATTCCCCTCCCTTTCCCTCAATGGGTAGGCTTCCTCTTCTCCCATTCCGAAAGATTGCTGCCACCTAGTGGTAACCAGCATGTTTTGCTATTTTCATATTTTTTTACCATGTTGTGAACATTCATGCGAGATCCACGTTGCTTGGGCGGTAAATATTTTCAATTTGAATTTATATGATAATGTTTGTTTTTTTCCACTAAATTCACTGTACCCCCCTCTTTTTGTGTTTTCAATTTGTGATAGTTTTCATTTCTCATCCTTGCTAGAGATCCACTGAGGAAGGGAAAAGTGTTTTTTCGAAAGTTAACTTTCGAAAATTATTAATAAAAATTCTTAAACCTTTTGTGGAGATTATTTCCTTTACCCTAAAATAATATTAATTAAAACTTTATGTTATTTACATAGAATTAATTCGTTTTTCTCTCTAAACAATTTTATAATAGTCCGGACAACGCCTAGTTTACTATCTACAGGAACAATATTTATCCACTCTTTCGTTACGTTTCGAAAAGTCCTATAAGGTAGAGGAAGCCCGGGCAATGTGAAAACAACTGTATGAAGGCTAGGGTGTTCGAATTCGTAGTTTCATTAACGGCTGTTTTAAGTGGAAGGAGGTTCAGATGCCACATTGCAAATCCAGTCTCCATTCTTTGGAGTTGCACTCATTGCGTCAACGGATGACCCCTTTGTAAGCCTCGAAAGCAAATTCACTTCTCTGAGCCACTCCACTCTTCTCTGCAGAGCTCAGGCGACGACTGACATATGACTGAAAGGGCGCGGACATCTACATTTATATAATGTAAAACATGTTATCAAACACTTAACTGCAGCTGGCCAAAGACTTTTTTGCTCCCTATTTCACGCAGGGTTTCTTGTTTTCATTAGTATTGAGGTATCGGTTTAACTTTGTGTAACACTCGTAAAAATTAAGGAACTGATGTTTCGTTATCAAGTTTGTCGTATATAAGGTGTGTCGAAATGAAGAGGAGACCGTAGCCATAGTGGCGTTGCATCAACCCCCGTGAGTGGCCGTGGTGGAGGGCGCGGTGGTTTCCCCGCTCACACGACGTCGCAGCGCTTGCCCCAGCTCGGTCGCGTTGTTCCCGCGGTGCGCTGCGCGAACGATGCCTCCAGCGCAGCTCCAAGAGCAGCGATCCAGTTCCTTCGCGCGGAAGGGAATCGCTCCACATGCATCCCAGGACACGGCGGCGTTTCGCTCTGAGCCGCATTCGGGGCGCCTCAGCGTCGAGGCGCGTTGTGACCAACGGGGCCACGACTGCATGGCCACCACTCGTGAAGTGGCCGTTGAAGTGGCGATGAGCGGAGAAACGGTGCTTCGCATCATCCACCCTACGCGTCCAACAAGACGCTCGCGCCCCTTGCCAAGTTTCGCTGGGAGGTCCCGATATCTCCCCACGCGACTCCAACATCTTCAGCCCATTAATTTTTTTGAAAAGTCAGAGATACAACCCTGACGAGGACGTGCAAGCTACCTTGGAACACTGGATCCGTCAGAAACGCAGGTGCTTTTACGAGCAAGCCAACCACTCACTTCCTTCGCACTGGGAGCGTCAATCACTGTAAATAGGTATTATTTTTAGATGTACCTTTCCAAATGAAATGTAATTTGAATGTTGGCATTACAGTTTGTTGCCACATCACAGTAGTCTCCTTTCCATTTGGGTACATCTTCTTGATGTATACAGTTTCCATAGTCCCGAAACAGACAATACATAAGTGGCCGTTCACTTTTTACTCCCATTGTAAATTAAGCGACCGAAAATAAAAGTATTAAGAAACAGCACCTTCCGATAGAGAATTACATAACTTCTTGGATACAATGTGCTCCGTTTATATTGTCGAGAAATTAAAAATCACCGCAAACATAGAAAAAAACTATTATTATTGTGAGATTTTGGAAGAAGAAGATTCGAATCAGTTCTCTTTACATTAACAAATTTACATAATACGATCGGGGAAATGTTTAGCATCTTATCTGTGTAAAAGTGTTGTGTTGTGTTTTCTAAATAACATTTGTTACATTTTGACCATAGCAAATTACTTACCCATGTCGGTTCCTTGCTTTTATCGCAGAACTTGAATGGCGCACCTGACGCTATTTCCTGCGCGGAAGACATCATAACTCCCATCATTCCCGCTATGAAAAAAATATTCCCCAAATTAAAATTTAACATGACACATTTAACTGCATTTTCAACCCTTAAAGCAAACCGCTTTAATATTAAAATCAATCACTTCAAGTTAAGACCATTACGATTGAAGCAGAGACAAATTGAGAACCAATAGAGATAATAGAAAATTACAACAAAACAAAACATTATGTGGCTTATTCAACCACCAAAAACCACCATTTTATCTTTCTACCACTTCTGCTTTCCTCTCGTCCTCTTTTCTTATTCTCTTTCATCGTCTTATTTTGATCGATAATAATTCCCTGATGATGCTACGTAGCAAGGACTTAAAGTAGGAGCACAGAATGGCCCGTATTATATTATTCATGTCTTTCAGGCTAATGGCCCGTGGTTCAATTGTCGTTGAACTGTCAATATTACAAATAAAACATTTATTCAAGTTTAATATTTTATGCTATTCCCTCAGTCAGCTAGAGTTAAACACACATGCTTATGGCCATACTTGTTTAAATATAAGAAGTGGTGTGTAAAGGATAATTGATATTTTAAATGATTAACAATTTACTTGACTTTCCATAACAAATAAGGAATTTTACTCAAACAACTGCTCTCTCTGGACCGTCACGTTCAAGTAGGTGAATTAACATATCTGTGCAGTATAAAGCGAATTCTGTGTTAGATGGTTGATGCCAAGTACGAGTCGGGTAATATTTTCTAATTTAACTGGCTGTACTACAAATATTAACATGATTGTCTAAGAAGTAGTAATAAATATTCGTTTATAATTTTGTTTCATTCGTTCACTGATTTTATGTTTTTGATGTACGTAATATGTGATGTACATTTTTGTTCGTGTTTCATGGCCATCTGGAAACGTTTGTATAATAGACACATAAACGATTTCGATCAGTTCTCTGATTGGCTGTTGTGGACTTTTAATTGCACGATTAAGTTTTAATGGCACGCATGCCATAAACACAGTGATATTTAACGATTTTTCATGGAATTAATGAGCATAGTGAGGCGACTAAACGAAAAACGATATTTAGTAGAGAGTACGTTGAAAACAATTTAGTGAATTCACACAGAAAAATTGGTCAGGGTAATATAAAATGCGTGGGTATTATTTAATGTATCGTTTGCCCTGAAAAGTTGTAATAAACGACTTGTCCCCTTTCTCCTCCAACCGATTATAATGTGTTTCCACACGCATTTTTTGGAAAACCTGATGATATTCGTGTATAACGTCCCCAAAACTGCCAATCGCTTTTGGTCGAAAATTGTCAGATGGATAATTCTGGCAGCTCTGACAGGACGTTTTCGTGAGTTCTCCGGTCGTGCAAATGCGGCCAAATACCAGGCGAATGTCGGAAATGTACTTTCACAATTTTCCACCGGGCCGCGTGCGATCTCCTCCTTATCCTTTACACACACACACAGGTCGGGATGTCAGAGCTAGTTCGAAATAGCGTGGTGATCTGAGGGAGCAAATAGCTCGAGAGGGAAATCCGCAAGTGACGAGTCTCCGACAAATAGAATATGACCACTCTTATTCATCGTCACCGTCCCAACAAATTCAAAATTCAACTATAGATTTGCAGAATAATACCAGAAATAAATTCATAAAATTATTTCCAATTAACATTTACACTCAGACTAGCAGTTCAAGATACTGATTTTCAGAAGTAAATGTGAAATTAAATTAAATGTCATGTATTTGTCGAAAACAGCAAAAACTATGAGACGTATGAGGAAGAAAAATAATCTGTTTATACTCACGATTGATTTGTTTAGCACATTTCACTAGTGGAAGAAATTTGGCTTGTGTCATAAAATCTAGTGTCCAAGAAGGTGTGGCCAACACTACAAGAAGAAATAAATGAAGAATTCGTCTGGTTGAAAGAGACATCGTAGACTGATAAACATTCACAGAAAATCGAGGTAAGCCTGGAGAGAGCAAATCATCATTAACTCCTTATATATAGATCTATAAATTATTATTAAACTAAAGTACCGTGAAGAAATTTTTGTGGTCGGGAAAAAAAGCAAGCTTGTGGCAAAATGCAAGCATGTTGACCTTGCTTGCGCAGTAGGTAGAAGAACGTTAATGTCATATATCTTTGTCTCTAAATCTTCCTGGTTTGTCGGATAAAAACAGTCTAAAACGTCAGATCCGGATTCACACTTGGCCGACTTTTGTTCTTGTGAAGCGGAGTCCTGCGCACGCGCGCCACACCGCAGCTGCGCACGTGACCGTTGCACGTTGGCTGTGCCTCACTTAGATACGGAGGATTGCATAGACCTTCTCGCAAAAGTTACCTATTCTCTTACATCTGGTCTACCTTTTCTGGATTCGTCCTCACCATCTTCCCAGCAGTCATCTACAGTAGGTGGCCAAATTATTAAGGACAGTACACTTATTTGTGTAATATCTAGTTTAAATCGAATTTTTGAGCAGAGGATTTGGTTTCGATAAGATTTGTAGTATTTTTGATATCATTACTTTTGTTACTATACGTTTTTGAAACTAGCAGCGCTTTGAGTCAAGCCAGATCGACCGGGGAATATCCACTTTGGAAAAAATTTACGTATGGTTTAGGCGCTGTGGTGTTTACTGACAGATAGACTGACGGATCGATGGACAAATGGACATACGTTTTGAAGAACAAAAGAAAAGTAAACAAAAAACACTTTTTTGGTATCAGGGCACCCGAAAATGTGTATTTGCGTTGAAATAGATTTTTCGCCGCATTTCATAACTTTCTCTATACTACGTATACGAAATGATACTAGGATGATGATATTGCCATTCAGGTTGATAAAAAACACAACAAGCGGATGTAAGTCATGCGGATGTTACTAGGTGCCATCGCATGTGTCGGAAAACCGAAGGACGAGAAAGGCCAGTAACTGGCAAGTTCATTTGTTATAGAAAACGTGCCGAGGTCTTTTGTGACATTTAACTAAAATTACTGTAAGAGAAGATTTAACTAAAGCAGTGAAAGCGGAAAGCCCACAATAGGTAGAACAATTGAGAAGAGAAATTGAATGGAGCAAACCCGACTCCACTCTGACTTACTTTTAGAGATAGAGACGAAAGCGGGGCTGATCTTGAACTCCAAAAACACGCAATAACCCTCCATTGCGTGACATAATTGGAAAAATATTAATTTTGTCACGTCTTTCTGAAAACCAGTTTTCTGGTAGAACAATTTACGAGAAATAAAATGGAGAAACCAGACTCCACTTCGACAAATAGTTTCGGAGAGATAGGCGAAAAAAAGTGGAGCTGAACAACAACGAAACTTAATTGAAAAATCTTCGAAACTTAAAATGTCCCTCCAAAACTGAAAATATCTCTCCTGCACTCAAAAAGAATTCTCAAAACTTAAAAATCTCTCTGAAAATTAAAATATCTCTTCGAAACTTATATGTCTCGCCGAATTTTAAAATTGTCTCTTCGAAATTTAAAAACATTCTCCGTAATTTAAAATGCCTTTCCAATCCTTAAAATGTCGTTCCGACTAGGGCAAAAAGTTTCACTAGGGTCAAAAGTGTTGCAGGGGTCAAAAGTGTCAGCGGGGTCAAAAGTGTCACTGGGGTCAAAAGTTTCATTGGGTCAAACGTGTGTCACTCGCGTCAAAATTGCCAATCACTGCGTTCAATATTTCGATTTTTTAGAAAAACGCGTGTGTTTGAAATACGTTTCTAGTTTGCACATTTATCGTCCGAATGTGGAAATGGTGGCAATTTCTGAAACTACATTAATTTTTAAAACAAAATATTGATTCTACAATTGAAATATTTTGCTTAGTTTGTGATGTATGGGTAGTTCAATTTTGTCTTACAAATATAAAAATTCAACGATGAATACATTTTCTGAAACTTTATTAAATTTTAAACGAAGATATTGCCGCCAGAATTGAAATATTTGGCATATTTTGTGAATTATGGGCAGTTAAATTGTGTCTTAAAACTGTAAATATTCAACCATATTCTCAAAAGCATTCCCAGCACAAAATGTCATGGCGAATGCGCAGATAATGAGCATATTTTTTATCAGATGCTTTGATATCCAGAAATTTACGAAAACTTTCGGAAAAACGTCATTTATATAAAAAATAAATGTATAACGGTTTTGTTTTATACCTGTTCTTTTAAGATATGAGAAAATGTTTTATATTCATGATTAAGTGTAATGCACGTATAATCTCCAGTGCCAATCTCACGGCTGTATCTGCAATACTTTAGGACCTCCGGCGCGTGAAAGTTGACCGTATTTTCAAATTTTTGATTACTCTAAAAACGAGTGTTTTTGAAAAACATTTATAGTAGGCACATTTATTGTCCAAATGTTGCAAATTATGACATTTTTGAAACTGCATTAAATGTTAAACGAGTGACTTTGAAATTGAAATATTTTGTGAGATATGGGCAGTTTTAATTTGTCTTAAAAATGTGAAACCTCAACGAACTGTCGAATTTTTCGATTTTTTACATGAACCGGATTCTTCTCAAAACCAGTGTCCTATCACAAACTTCCACGGCAAATACACAAGCATATTTCCATCATTTGCTTTTTTACCAGAAATTTGTGTAATCTTACTATACAAACGTCATTTTTATCAAAAACACAATGTAAAACGTTGCAGTATTTAACCAGTTCTTTTGAAATTAAAAGCTCTGTTTTATATTCACGATCAGGTGTGATGTACATATAACATCCAGTGCCAATCTCATGCCTATATTTGTAGTAGCTTAGGACCTACAACGCGTGAAATTTGACAGTTTATCCCTAAATTTTCCATTTCTCTACAAAACACCTGTTCTTAAAGAACGGCTCCAGTGGGCCCACTTATCGTCCGGATGTGGAAATGGTGACAATCGCTGAATCTACGTTAATTTTTAAAACAAGATGTCTCTAGAATTGAAATATTTTTCACAGTTTGTGAGACGTGGGCACTTAAATTTTGTCTTTGCCCAGCAGCTATATTATATTCTTATATGCCCTACGGTCACATATCTAATTCCTAATACCCTTTTGCTGCATTCAATACTTACATTACTCGCGGCTATATCCAATTCTTACATGCCCTGCGGCTTTATCTATTTCAAAATTTCACGCGCTGTCTCCAATTACTAAAAGATTTGCGTTTATATATCTGAATCCTACATATCGTGCTGCTATATCCGATTCCTACTTGCCGTGCTGCTATAACTAATTTCTACCTGCCAAGCGGCTACATCTTATTCCTATATGCCCTGCGGTTATATATCTAATTGTAACATATCCTGATGCTGAATTCAAACCCTACTTTCTCTTTGCCCATACCTAATTCCTAAATCTCCTGCGAGTTACTAATTCGGAGCATGTAAGTTGTACATGCCCAGCGGCTATATGCAATTCCTATACGCATTCGGCTATATGTATCCCCTGCTGCTATATCCATATTCTTGCTCGTCCTGCGGCTACATCTAATTTTTATATGTACTATGGCCATGTCTAATGCCTGCTATCTGCTGCTATCTTCATTTCCTACATGCCGTTAGGCTATATCAAATTCTTACATTCCCAGTGGCTGTATCATATTTCTATATGCCTTGTGGCTATATATCTAATTCCTAAATTTTCTCATTTCAGACACTTTTAACCCCAGTGGCATTATCGACTTGAGTAATATTTTTGACCCTTGACAATTTTGAATCTAGTGACTCTTTTGACTCAAGTGACATTTTTTACAATTATGACATTATTCACCAAAGTAACTCTTTTGACTCTAGAGACACATTCCACTCTAGTGATACTTTTGACATATTTGACACTTTTAACCTTGTTAACCGTTTGACCTCTTTGACATTGTGACTCTAGGTTTACTTTTGACTGAAGTGAATATTTCCACCCAAATAATACTTTTGACACTCGAGTCCCCAGTGACACGTTAGACCCCTGTGTCATGTTTACCCCTGTGACACTTTTTACCCCAGTGACACTTTTGACACTAGAGACGCATTTCATACCCTTGACACTTTTGACACCAGTGACATTTTGACTTACGTGACACTTTTGACCCCTGTTACACTTTTGCTCCTTGTGATTTGTGGCCCCCAGTAATTCGTTTGGCCCTATGTGACACGACTCCTGTAACACTTTTAACCCTTGTGACATTATTAACCTTTGTGACCCAATTAAAGCCAGTGGCACTTTTCACCCCAGTGACACTTTTAAACCCAATGACACTTTTGATTCTAGTGAACGTTTCCCTTACTGACAATTTTGCCCCTTGTGACACTTTTTACCGTATACACACTACAATATTCTTTTATAGATATGTCGAGGCCCCGGCCATCAGGCCCGCTCTTCCGCCTAACCACATGTCAGTAATATACAGATTAGTCTAAAAAAGTAATGTAATCTAAAAAATTAAATGTAATATAATCTACAAGTGGTAAGTAGTCAGTGGGGAAAAAACGTTATTTAAAGCGACTTATAAATAGATAACATCAGACGTTAAATGGATACAATGTTACAATACTATGTTTGAAACAATTTTAAAATTCAAAATGGAGATTGAAAACACAATTTGAATGAATTAAGATATTATGTGTTTTACATATATGCGCGCTACGCGCAGCCTGGTATTCACCCCGACCCGCTATTGGGGAAAACCCACCTGGCAGACTGCAATACAATGGTAACTAAGCTATCAAGAAGTAACGGGTCCTTGGGATGGTATCCTTAGCTGCGGTCCATGCCGCAAAGTGTCGTTTTCTTGTTTAAATCCACCTCTGCTCCTACGGATGAAAATACAGTTCCGGCAATATGAAACATGTCGCAAGAAAGTAAATATTTTTACAAAAGAACA